CCAGTCATCCTCCTTTCGATTTGTTCTTCGATTTCGATAACAACTTCTACTTAATTTTAGTGCTTATTTGTTAATTGATTTGATGAATTAGGTATTTATTTGAACTTGATATGAGTTGATTTAATTGAAGTGGGAAATTAAGTGATTGTTGAGATTGTTGATCATGAATAAGCTTGGAATTGGTTGAGTTTTATGTTCAATTGTTTGGATCTTGAATTTTGACACGTCGATTTGTTAATTATTGAATTTAATTGAATTTTTTGTTGATACATGAAGTGTTGATTTACATGAATTGAACATTGATATTGATAATGTTTAGATTTGGAATCATTTGAGTTGTATGCAATTAATTGTTAAGTTTTTGTTTCAAATTCGATTAATTGATTGGACTGTTGTATAACGTTTGATTTGGTGCTTGGAAATTATGGTACCGATACCGATAAGATGATTATTTTTTTGTTTGTGAATTTCGGTAGAGTTTTCATGTGTCGATACATGGACTTTTTTGCATTAAAACGATGATTTTAAACCGATTTTTGTCAAGTATCGATACTTAATGTAATGCTGTCCGTAATTCATAAATGTGCCATAAACTTGGACTTATTTGTTGCATCTTTCTTAATTGGTTTGCACTTGGTGATTGCATGACATTTGTGGTGGTTTCGATCGATTTTAATTTGACTTTTTGCACATCTCATGAAGCGGTATAGTGTTGTCTGGATTTGATTGATACATGTATATTATGATGCCATATTCATCTAATGCATGCTTGTGCTCATTTGTTTGATTGTTGAACAATTGTTGTTAAGTTTACTCGATTTTAATGCGATTATTTGGGTGATTTGTTGCATTGATACTATGTTGCCCAGATTTGTAAGTAAGCCTTGGAGCTTTGTTTCTATTGTTTGTTAGTACATGATTGAACTTGCTTTGGTCTATATTTGACATGTATGTGAAGTTTGGTTGATTTTAAACCAACTTTTTGTGGGATTCATGTGTTACAACAATGTTGTCCGAATATGACATGTGTGTACATTGTGAATCAATTGTCATGTGGTGCATAATTGATTGTATTTGAGCACTCGTTTAACATCTATGATGAATTTTGTTGGTTTCGACTTGAATTTTTGAGCCATTTCATGTATGGATGCAGTGCTACCCAGTTTTCAATCTCCATGTTCCGATACTTTCTTAGATATTATTTCTTTGCATTTTGATCTTATTTTGAGTTACAATATGATTTCTTGACTTTGTTTATGCTTTCTTTTTATCACTAACTCTTCTTGTGTACTTGTGCAAGCTTCGGAAAGGAGATTTCCCGCACCATGTGATTTGTGGATTATGTTGTGCTTGTGTAGAATTGTTTTGTGCAGGGCAATTATCTTGATGCGATGTGTTCTCTGCATGCGGTCTATTCTCACACGGAGATGTCTTGATTTTTATATTGGATATCTTTTCTGATTATTTCTCTTTTGATTGGTGAAGCTTGCACCAAGGTCGGCATTTTTCTTTTGCTTTGCTTGTGCTTTGTTACAGACATTATTGTTCGTTTGGTATTATTTCTGATGCTATTTTGACTCCGCATTGTATTTTCTTTTCCTTTCCATGAGAAGTAGGAATAGAGATGCATGACTGGGAGTCTCTACTTTAGGTTTGCAAATCTGTTTAAAGTCCTCAAATGAGGAAATATTTGTTTTTCTAAAAGTCCCCAAAAGAGGCCATTTTGTGTTTGTTTGTACGCAACAGACCTTGACGAAGGAAAATCCCACTCTCCTCCCATTTCCCTTTTACTTTTTATGTTTGCCATCGAGTGAATAAGTGGAGAAAGGGGCCCACAATCGGCCCATACACTTTCTAGTATGTTTCGTTCTTAGCTCGTGTTATACATTGATGCTTTGAACCGTGCTTATTCTTGTCCATTGAGTCAAATAAAATGGAAAAGGATTCGTAACCAACCCCCACACTTTGTCATTCGTTTCGACGATGTTAGCTCACATTTCTTTAAATGTTGACGCTTCAAGTTGTTACTCAACATTGGTGCTTGAGCAAATCAAGTGGAAATAGTCTCTTACTCCCACTTTGAAATCCATGGGATTCTTTGTTTGTTGCTAGCTCGCACTTGATTTTTGCTTTGATTTTGGTTCACTTGTGTTCATTTGCACTTTGTTCGACTTTATTCGATCACACTTGTGTTAGTTTGCATTTTGTTTGACTTTGTTCGATTGCACTTATGTTTGTACTTTTTCTTTAGTTCTTTGGCATGTTCCCTTAGGATTACTTGTTTTGTTTATGATTCAAGATGGATATTAGGTTGTAACCTTTGCATGTTCAATTAGGATTTCTTGTTTCATTTTCTATTCAAGTTGGATATTAGGTTGTAATCTATGCATGCTAACTTAGGTAGAGATTTCCCTTTGTTATCCAAACCTTAGGGACATCATTGTATGATAATATTAGGGATAGAGATAGATAGTTCCCTTAGACTTTTTCGTTCTCCTTTTGCATTCTTAAAACTAAAACTCTCTTTTTCTTTGTTCAAACTTCAAAACACCCTAACATTAATAAACTCTTTTCAAGGTAAAAAATACCAACCAATGCAAACCTTTTGTCTTCGGACTTTTTCTTTTAAAATCTTTTCAAAAACGACATGCTTCGATAACATCGTTCATAAAAAAACATGCAACCAATAAAAAATTTTGAGGTGAACTACGAGTTCCTTGATCTCTATTGCATGAACGATGGTACATAGGCACAAAGGTTTGCAACTGAGGCAGACACGACTAATAAAACTATTTTTTGTACATAATACTTTGCATATATGCATTTTCCCCTTAGCTCGTATGTTTTAAATTAGAACACACTCTTTGATTGAACAACAAGATTGGATCTCGTGGAGTACCATGGACGTGAGGGGTGCTAATATCTCCCCCTTACGTAATCGACTCCCTTACCCGTTCTCTTGATCGCGAGACCTTGATTTCCCCCTCTTTAGGTTTTCTTTGATGTTTTCCTTTCCCTTCCTGTGGGATAAATAAATGTCTGATGGCGACTTTAATGTTTGTTTGAGAGATTTATTTTCTCGAGTTGTTTCAATTCTCATATGATATCTTGACTCTCGAGTAAGCCTTTCATGATAGCTTGAGTTATTTTATGATTTTTCTCATTCAAAATACACATTAAATCATGAAATATATTTAAAAAATCAAAATCTATGCTCCATGATTTTCTTTGTGATTGTGATGCATATATTTGTTTCAAACATTCAATTCATCCATGTTTCCATAAGCTTATCCCATTTTTGAGCATATTTCCTTCATAAACTCTTTTAATGCATAAACCATAAAACATCAAAAGCATGCTTTCAACTTTCAATCTTTTGTCACAACTCTTACCAAATAAAATCCATAAATTCTCATCCACTTATATGATTATTGCTTGGCTGAATAACATGTTCCCTTAAGGTTGATTGGTTCATTTTAAATCTTTGATGAAATTTGAATCAAGATAGACATTAGGATCTCAATCCAAGCATGACAATATTAGGGGAGAATTTCCCTCATAATCTCAACTATATTATCAATCTTTGCATGACAACATTAAGATCAAGTCTCCTCATTAGACTTTTCTTTTCCTCTTGCATTGCATCATTAAGACTAAAATATTTTCTTATTCAAAAATTCAAAAACACTTAAAATATTCAAAACCCTTTCAAAACTAAAGGTATGAAGGTGATGAGTGTCTCCTTGGATGAGGGTCCACTTAAAACCTTCTTCCTAACCAAAGCACAAACAAAATCCAAATCATTTTTGCCTTAGGGATTTTTCACTTTAAAACCTTTTCAAAAAGGATATGTTAACTTCTTTCTACACAAAACAACGATGCGTAGTCTCCAACGGTCGAGTGGCAACGTTAACTGTTAGAATGTGAATTTAACATCATCCATAAAAAAACACATAACAAACAAAATATTTTTAAGAAGAACTACGGTGTTTGATTCTCTTGTCATATATATATATATATATATATATATATATATATATATATATATATATATATATATATATATATATATATATATATATATATATATATATATATATATATATATATATATATATATATATATATATATATATATATATATATATAAACCCTGATGATATGTTAGAACCTTACACGACAGTTGATAATATGAATCGTAATGATATAACATTTCACCACAGTTGATAATATAAACTCTGATGATATGTTAGAACCTTACACGACAGTTGATAATATGAATCGTGATAATATAACATTTCACCACAGTTGATAATATAAACCCTGATGATATGTTAGAACCTTACACGATAGTTGATAATATGAATCATGATGAAATATAAAAACAATTCTTATTTGTAACGAAAAAATAGAAAATTGTTGAAGCGGAGATTTGAACCTTTACACTGGTATATTTCACCACGATTGTTCATTTCTTTTCACCAAAAAATTTTAATTTTTTAATCCCAAATTCAAATAAGGTTTAGATGTAATAAAAAATCTCCAAAATCATTGTTCAAACTGCAATCCACAATCCACAATCCACAACTACAACCACAATTTAAAACCATCACGTTTTATGATTCTCCCCTAATCCAAAGACATCTCAAGCTTACTCACCCTTACTAATAGGAGGCGAACTTCCCCTTTTAACTACACTTGATGATATTATGCCGACTAAAATGGGTAAGGAGGGATATAAAGGTTGTTCTTGAATTGTATTATCCAAAAAATACTTCCATCTTGTTCAATAGATATTTCATCCTTAAAACATTTATGCAGGAATTCTAGACACAGATTAGCATGATCAAGTCAATAAGTATTACAAATGCCTTTACTAAAAGTTACATTACATGTTAAAAACAATATCAGTATTAATATTATAGCCCTAAAATACAAGCATATCATTGTATTTCAAAATCTACTATTCTAAATTAAAGATGGCTACATGTCAATTAGTATTACAAACTAGGCGAATCAACAGAAAACTTCACAACTGATCCAAGCTCATCCCAATTATCAAATGATAATAACTCATTAGCAGCCTGATTAACCCAATAATTTGAAGATTGCGTTACATTATTCTGTTGAGGTTGATGCGCCACCGAAGAGCTCATCTGATCTACATGAAACTGATTCATTTGATCAATGCTCGTATAGTTACTGATGAGCTTGTGTTCATTAATAGGCCGATGCTCGTGGCTTGCACCAAAATTGATATATGTTTGTTGATTTGCGCCGAACTCAATATTGTTCATTCTACTACTCTTTTCATGAATAATCTGACTCTGACGCTTGCTACCTAATGGTTTCACCTCTGGTATTTGTTGTTTCCTTTGTGGTACATTTCTTTTGAAAATTCTACATAATGTCCAAATTTCCTGCATGCCATATACAAAATCATTAGCACATGTTTGCTTATATCATGCATAATCCAATCATTACGATCTCTACTTACCGCTTCATGAGAAACATCATTATCATTCTTGTCATGATCAAGATTTGTGTTGGTAGCAATATTAGACGGAAGACGAAACTCGTGCATCATCCAATCAGTTTTGGTGCCTTTACCAGCACTACCACGGTAGTAAACAAGTGTTTTTTTGAGTCCAACACAATCATTTCCTTCTCCTCCATTTGAGTATATTGGTTTATCTATTCCAGTCGCTTTCCAGAATCCGGATCCAGTTACTCTATTTGGCCTAACGCTGTTCCTATATTTTCTCCCTCTTTTGCAGAAAAAATAACTCTCATTTTCTGCTCCATGTAAACTAGATTCTGCACAATATATAAATCCAGCTAATAATTATGTAACTGCTCTTATATTAGAAACCCTAATATTCTTACATTTTTCAATAGTGATGTCATCTTGTAAGAAACTAATAAATCTACAAGACTTGTAAATTTAAGAGGAAAAATAATAGAAGAATAATCAATAAAACTTGAAAAGATCATAAAAAGAAAAAGGAAATTATTGGTGAGATGAATACATACTTGGAAGATCCCAAGGATCATATTTGTAGATATCAACTTGTTTGATGAGTTCAACAGAAATAGGTTTCTTGTCGAGTTTTCTCCGAAGATAAAAAGTTACAAGTTCTTGATCAGTAGGATGGAATCTAAATCCAGGGAGTGGAACATCATCGTCGTCATCATCATCACCAACTTGTAAATGTTGATTAATATTCATGTTGAAAGTTGAAACCCTTGTTGTTCTCTCACTCTATATGTGTGTGTTTTATGTTTGCTTTTTGGTTTTTCTAAATAGATATAGAAAAGGAGAAGAAAAGAAAAGAAAAGTCGTGGAAGAATTTCAATGAAACGAAGAACCTTCTTTTGAAAAAAATAATGTAATGAGAGTCGTTTGATATTGATACGGATGAAATTTTCATGTTGGTCAAGTCATGTGGTTTGACTTGTGCCATTTATTTTGGATGGTTGGACTTGCTCAATTTTTTAATTATTTAGGAAATATATAAACCATTTGGATTAAAATATGAAGAAATAAATATTTGAAAAGTTAACATATCTTATTTTAATTTGTAATCAAATTAAATACATCAAATTTCCCATAGTATTTAGTTTATATTTTATTTCGGAGTGACTAAACATGGTACATAGTCATTATGTTTATAAAGATTGAACTAAAAAACAAGAAAAGTTAAGGTTGAACTATTCCGTTCAAGTATTTATTTCATCTTGGATTTGGAAGGTACTAGAAATGATAGCTCTTGTATTCTTCATGGGTTGAAACAGAAATGTTTATAGAGCTGTTTAATCTAATCATAATCTCCTTTTCTATAAAATATATATAGCTGAGTCAAACATTAAATATATAGCAGCCTCAATAAAAAATCGTTTCTCTTTATTTTTTTAATTTATTTAATAAGTAAACTTTTTATTTCCAAAAATATATATTCTATTATCAATATTTTTTATACTATTTAGAAGAATGCTAGCAACAATGTCATTTCAACATTCTCTCTAACTCTTATTTTTTTATTGAATGAAATAAATGCAGGTCTCTCATTTTAAAAATAAGATCCCACCTAAAATAATTGGTTTCACATATGTTTTACTCAATAGAAAAAGTGTTGAAGAGAGTGTTGAAAATAGAGTATTACATTCTTGTGCCACTTATATATATAACACTTAAAACACCTAAATAATTAAGAAACGAGTGTATTATGTAACACCTTTCTAACCTAACGAATAATTCACGAATAATATAATATTAATCAAACATAAATCACTAACATGGGTGTCACATCGTCATATAAAACGTCATATCAAACATTCTATTTCGTAACACAAATTTTCAAATTATTTAGAACAATTATTTCATTAATATCATCAACAACATTTCAAACTAGCGCAACAGAATCTTAGTCTCAAAACATTTTTATTATAATACTTCAAATAAACACCACCATACTCTATCGTTCATAATTCATAATTCCAACAACTTAAACACCATAACAAGGTAACTCATAATCTCATATTAAATAAAGAAACATAATGTTTCAATCAAGCGATCTCAACCCTAATATTACATATCAGAGCAAGACCATCTTTATTCAATATAAAGTAACTAAATAACTCCATAAAGTTATCCTCGAGTTTCTACGGACTATTCTTGATTACCTGTAAGTTATCCATATATAGAGGCAATATTCCAAACAAAAAGGGTGAGTAATCACAAAATCATTACAAAATATATACGGAATAAATATAGTAGTTACAACAACATCATCATGAACTCCACATAGCATCATATATCACATATTATACTCACACTCTCATACCATCATCTCAATCACCACATCGTAATATCATTAGATCAATCATCACTAATAAAACATCATTTAATTCACAACGTCAACACAAACATCACTTAAATAGCACCTCATTAATACATCACTTAATCAACAATCATACAATGTCACACAGGATGTAGTGTATTAACATAGACTCATACATGTGATACAAATTCTTTGATGATACCGGGTCATCACCCTTCAAAGATTCCCACCATAAGATCGATTCCCTCTTTAAATTGAAGCACGGCATAAAACACACTCAATCCACACAAGGGGATTGAGGCCAACACTAGACCAACGTCCTAACAACACTAGACTTACGTCCTATCAACATGGAGGATCAACGTCCTAATGTTATAAATGCATGATGCACAATCAACACAAAATTCGTGACCACAACTAGTCAAGTGCATCATCATTCATGTAATCATCTCATACGTCATTATACAACATAAAACATACTCACAACAATCAACATACCATATAATCACACACCATATTTTATCAACACATACTTATATATATATATATATATATATATATATATATATATATTCATCATAACATAATCATGGGAAACACATCATATTATTCATTTTATTCTGCGCAAAGCAACAAAGAAAACCAAATATGCCAGCTGCCCATTGCCTAAGACTCGCCCGACGATGCTGGGGCGACACACATTTATCATATATTTTACAGGAGCACCTAAATTACATGTTTTCTCGCCCAGAGCTCGCCCGACGCTACTCAGATGAAATCGCTTCGTCCGACGCTGCATGTCGCTTACTCGGTGCTGCGTGAAAAACATGGATTCCCTATTGCAATTCTACACCTATTCAATCCCAACTTCTCATGAAATTTCATACCAAAAAAAGCCCAAATTCACCAAAAACCAACATGTTATCATACAATCAATAATAATACATTATTATATCATTACGGACATCAATTCATGGTATTTTACACATCATAATTCACCAATTTCATCATAAATTATCACATTATCAATTCATCATAAAAGCCAAACAATCTACATACATCTAAACCCCATATCAATTATAATAACAAGGATTGCTCCCCTTACCTTAGATTTTCCTTGCAAGTGATTTTCCTATTTGTGTTCTACCTTAAATCCCCTTGTTTCCTCGTGCCCTAGCTCTGCTACGCTCTTCCAATTCTTTCATGATCCTACACAATGAAACAATTTTTCCTATTTTTCTTGTTTAACCCTTAGACCCCTAATATGAACTTCCCATCTCACCCTCACCAACTTTTCACGAATGACTATGTTGTCCTTATTTTTTCTACATCACCATTTATCTCAATTTTAATAATACTAGTAATTCTAAATAATTATTCTAAATTATCCAAATTACTAAAATACCCACACTCACTGAAATTCAACGATATCTTACCACATAACATCACAACACACACCATACTCAACAAAACATCATATATTCACCAATAATTCACAAATAGTCATAATAAATCAATTACATATATAATTCAAAATTTGGGGTTTTACATATTCTAGATTGGGCCAAGTGCCAAACTCACTGTTCCAAAGAATCTAAAGACTCTAGAAGACACCTTGAAAAATTTACTGTTGGAACAAGCACAAAGCTTATATGGTGAATCAATGGTGAAATGTGGTTAATTGGAGAAAATAAAGTGAATTTAGAGATTGAGAGAGAGGAAGAGAGAGAGAGAGAGAGAGAGAGAGAGAGAGAGAGAGAGAGAGAGAGAGAGAGAGAGAGAGAGAGAGAGAGAGAGAGAGAGAAAGAGAGAGAGAGTAATTAAGGAGAAAAGTATGTTTTGGCATTAACTTTAAACAATATTGCATGAGGGATACTTATAAGATACACACAATACAACTTGGAACCCAAAATAGGCCCCAAAACAACTAAAAAGCAGAAAACACGAGGAGGAAATCGATTTCCCAAAAGGGGTAATCGATTTCCTCAACTAAAAACAGAATCTTAAAACTAAAATAACATGTGGAAATCGATTTCCCAAAAGGGGTAATCAATTTCCTCAACTAAAAACAGAATCTTAAAACTAAAATAACATGTGGAAATCGATTTGCCCAAATTAGGGAATCGATTTCCTCTTCGAAACTTAGTTTTTCCAAATTTCTAGAAGTGCTTTTTAAATAAGTTGTTTTCCATGAAACGATCCCAGAAGCTTCCACAATGCGTTTGAATTATTAAGGGCTTCCAATATTTACGACCAAAGAACGATCCAAAATATATAAATTTAATGGGGTGATTCTGCTTAAATATCGTAGTAGATTGAATGAGACAAAGTTTACAAAGGATAATTAGGCCATTTAGCAAGATCCACTGGCATCTTTTGCTCACGCCAGTTTTCCTTCGTTTGTCACTAAAATGGGTATCTAGTGAGACAAGTTTTTAATTCCAACCCAAAACTTTTACGTTTATAATTCCAAGAGTAACACTAAGCTTATTCTTTTGCATTATTACAAGTGGAATTATTAAACTTTTAATTCAAATAGGCTACACATTAGGCTATGTTATCGAACAAAAGGCTCAGGGTCAAAGGGTTTAAATGATGTATAAAAATACTTCATAACATGGTACCTTGAAAAGACTCACAATTTTCACAAACAAGTGTCTCTGTGAAAATAAGTATATAAATTAGAAAATAACAATTGTACAAATACTCTCATAAGAAGGAAAAAGTAAATAATGAATTATTTTGTTCAAACCTTACTTTTTGAGGTATATGGGGATTGAGTTTAATTCAACTGGCTATCCATCTTCTTTTTAATTGTCTATTTGCATCTATAACTTCTATAACGATCAACTTTTTTCTTTCAGTCTTCTAGTGATTTGTTTCATTTTTTTTAAAATTTTCATTGGTAAGGTAACATATCATTAATTGAAAGAAATCAAAATAAGGAACTCATCCATTTATTAAATTAACAAAAGGCTTAGTATTGGGAAAATCATACAAGAAACTAATAACTAACTAGGAAAGAAATGAAAGTACATCAAAATAAAACTAAAACTAAAAATACTAGAAAGATAGTGAAACGCCTGAGTCACTAATTATTATCAAGAAATTGCTCAAAATTGTTCATGTCCTCCATCACATCATTATAGTATTGTTCTTGTCAGTCAAATGTCTCTCGCAACCTAGTTTGTTTGTCTGTCATCACTCTATTTTGCTATTCATTATAGTTTTCCAAGTTTTTGTGAGTGACAAAGCAACCACGCACACTTGGAATTGAAATTTGGTGGAGATACTCGATAAGTGAAAATTATAGTTATTTTTGTATATATTTTTTGTTGCACTTATTCACTCTTTGTTGTTAATAATCGGTGAACAAACTCGGCTTTTG